TTTGTCAATTTCCTTTTGATTTATTTATGATGTGTTTGCCATACATTTAAAAATGTTTTGTGTAGTCATATTGATCATTGTTTTCTTTCATTGCGCCTGGAACTGGAGTCACAGTTAGAAAGGTTTTCCTTACGCTGAGGTTAAACAAGAGTTCTGCCATATTTCCTTCAAGACTGTTATGGTTTCATTTTTTATGTTTAGATTCCTAGCCCGGTTACAATTTATTTTTGTGTATGGTGTGTGATGTAGCTCTGCATTGATTTTTCCCCAAATGTCTCAGTTGTTCCAGCATCATTGATTAAATGTCCATCTTTCCCCTAGTGATTGTACATGCCCTTTTATCATGTACTAAAATGTCCATATATAATTGAGTGAATTTCTGCGTTTTCTATTCTATTCTATTCCACTGGGCTATCTGTCTATTCATGTACCAGTACCACGATGTTGTGATTTCAGAGGCTTTACAGTATGCTTTAATGTCTGGCATCATTACTCCCCACTTGCAGATTTTCTTTTTCACTTGTATCTGGCTATTATTGCATGTTTTTTTTAATATGAACTTTATTATCCGCTTGCCTAACTCCATAAAAACAATTGCTGATATTTTTGAGAGTATATTAAATTTTTACATGAGTTTAGGGACCACTGACATCTTTTTAATTTTCAGCTATTCTACCCAGGGTCATTGAATGGTCATGTTTCCTTCTACATTGTTCAGGAGTGTCTAAATTTTTTCTTGTATAGATGCTCTCATTATTTCTCATTTTAAATGCAGAATTTATTTCTATGCATTTAATCTTTGTTTTTGCTATTGTATATGGGATTTTCTGTACTAATGTGTCCGCCAGCTGTTTGTGTGTGTGTGTACACAAAGACTATTTTGATTTTTGTATGTAAATTTATAGCCTACTACCTTGCTGATTTCTCATTGTTTTACATAATTTGTCATTGTTTCTGTAGGGCTTTTCAGGTATACTATAATATCTGCACATAGAGGTGGCTTTACTTCTTGTTATCCATTCATATAAATTTAGTTGATTTCTCTAATCAACTAATTCTTTTTTAAAATGTTTATTTACTTATTTAAAAATTTGGGGGGTTATTAAGCTTACTTATTTATTTATTTATCTTTAATGGAGGTACTGGGGATTAAACCCAGACCTCTTGCATGCTAGACACACACTCTACCACTGAGCTATACCCTCCTCTCCCTAACTGCCTAATTCTTGTATTACAAAATTCAATAGGAATGAAATAGTAGGCATATTTTCTTGTTCTTGACCTTAGTGTAAAATCTCTAGTGGTCTCCCATTAAATAAAATACTGGCATTAGAAATTAATTATATAGCTTTTATCATGTTAAGAAAGCACCCTTCATTGCTATTTTCTTGAGTTTTTTTCTTTTTCTTTTTTTTTTTTTTGCATGAATGGGTGGTGAAGTTTCCCAAAGGTTTGCTTGGCATATATGGTGATAATCATATGATATTTGTCCTTAAGTGTATTACTGTGGTGAGTTATATCAGTGGAATTCCTAATATAGAACCAACTTTGTATTAATGCAATAGGATAAATCCCACTTGGTCACAGTAATATTAACTTCTAAATGTATTGTTGGATGTTTGCTATTTCTTTTTAGTATTTTTATATCTGCATTTTACCTGTTAGTGTTATACTTGCTTCATAAAAGAATTTAGGGACATTTCCCTCCTCTTCAGTGTTCTGTAACTTACGGAGCTTTGGTACTATGTGATCTTTGATGGTTTACTAGAATTCACCTGTAAAACCATCTGAAACAAAAACGCGTCTTGGGCATAATTCCTTAATAACTCTTTCTATTTCTTCTATGAAAATTGGCTAATTTAAGCTTTCTAACACTAGAGTTAGAATTTTGGTAATCTATATTTCTCTGGGAAGCTATCTGTTACATGTAGATTTTCAAATGTATTAGCATAGAGGTTTGTGAAATCTCTTTTTTTTCTGTTTCAATGATTATTTACCCTTAGTCACTTATTATTTTGTATATCTGTGATCTGTCCCTTTCTTCTTTCATTAAGGTAGCTAGTGGTATGTCTGTTTCAAAAACCAGAATTTTGATTTGTTTTTTGATTCTGTATCTTATTCATTTTTGCTTTTGTATTTATTATTTCTTTCCTTGTGTGACCTTTTGCTTTACTTAGTTATTCTTTTGGATGGAGGTGTTTTTGTTTAGTTTTGAAACCATACTAAATTCTTTATATTCATTTAAAAATATTTTTTACTCATAAAAATATATATGGCTGTGAATTTGCCCCTGATCACTGATATAAATGTATTTCATAGATTCTGATATGTAGTTTGCCATAGTCATTCTTTTAAAAAATTTCTGTAACTTCAGTTTGTATCTTCTCTTTAGTTCAACATTTTAAAACATAAGCTTTAAAAAATTTTCAGGTGGAAGGGCTTTTCTGTTTGTGGTTTTTGCTCCTAACTTTTGTTGCATTGTGATTAGAAAGGATTGTTTGTAATATTTCTGCTTTACAGAAATTAATGATGTCATCTCTGGGAGAAAATTATGATCCATTTTTGACAAGAATATATTCTCTATTCTCAGTGTATATTTATATATACACACACATATATATTTACCTTATTGATTAGCTTTCTGTCTCATCAATTTGTTTAGATTCTCTGTATCCCTACTCTTTTTATATTATTTGACCAGTTTTGTACTGAGATTGTTGTGTTAAACCTCCTATTGTTACTCTCATTAAATCTCCTATTATTTTATCTATGTTTCCTTGCCTTTTTGCTTTGTAAAGATGATTGATGTGTTATTGGTGCATAAATATTCCTAAGAGTTATATCTTCATTGTGAATTTTGATTTTTGTTTGTTTATTTTTATTTTTGGGGGGG